GCTCAGTGCGAGGAGAGTTTCCAGGAGTTGAAGAGGAGACTCACTACCGCACCGGTTCTAGCCATACCCGACCCTACTTTGGAGTTCACCGTCTATAGTGATGCTTCGAAAATGGGTTTGGGTTGTGTCCTTATGCAGCAGGGAAAAGTCGTGGCCTATGCTTCGAGGCAGTTGAAGCCTCACGAGCAGAACTACCCCACTCATGATCTGGAGTTGGCCGCTGTCGTCCATGCCTTGAAGATTTGGAGGCATTATCTCTATGGAGGCAAGTGCGAGATCTTTACCGACCACAAGAGCTTAAAGTACATATTCACTCAGAAGGAGCTAAACATGAGGCAGCGAAGGTGGTTGGAACTGGTCAAGGACTACGACTGCACCATTAGCTATCACCCTGGGAAAGCCAATGTGGTAGCCGATGCCTTTAGTCGGAGGAGCTATGGCCAGTTGTCTTGCGCATTCACCCAGCAGGATGTCCTTCTTCGGGAGTTCGAGCGATTACAGTTGGAGGCAGTTGAGTCGACTTCGACAGCCGGGAGTGTGTTGGCCTCTTTGGTTGTGGGACCGACTCTTCGAGAGAGGATAGTCGCCGAGCAGCCGAATGACCGTTTCCTATGCCGAATGAGGGAGTTGGCAGCAGCAGGAAGAGTTGGTGGATTCGCAGTCGCATCTGATGGGGCCTTGGTCTTCGAGGGTAGACTTTGTGTTCCGAAGGTATGGGAACTGCGGAGAGAGATTCTGAAGGAAGCCCATAGTGCCCCGTACACCATCCATCCTGGTAGCACGAAGATGTATCAGGACCTGAGGAAATCTTTCTGGTGGCATGGCATGAAGTGGCAGATAGCGAGATTCGTGGATGGGTGCCTGGTGTGTCAGCAAGTGAAGGCTGAGCGCAAGAAGCTGAGAGGGTTGTTGCAGCCTTTGGAGGTTCCCCAGTGGAAGTGGGATTGCATCGCCATGGATTTCTTGGTTGGTCTGCCGAGATCGAGGAGCGGGCACGATTCGATTTAGGTGATAGTGGATCGCCTT